GTCGAGGTGTGGTAGCTGTGAGCATGCCACTGCACTCCAGCCTGGGCGACAGAGACTCCAACTCAAAAAAAAAAAAAAAAGGCTCAGTGGCTCAGGGGCTCAGTCTATAATCTCAGCACTTTGGGAGGCCAAGGGGAGTGGATTGCCTGAGCCCACGTGTCTGAGACCTGCCCGGGCAATTTGGCTAGAACTCATCTCTACAATAAATAAAAAATTAGCTGAGGTGAGTGGATTGCCTGAGTCCATGGGTTCGAGACCCGACTGGGCAACTTGGCGAGACCTCATCTCTACAATAAATCAAAAAATTAGCCAGGCGTGGTAGCGCGTGCCTATAGTTCCAGCTACTTGAAAGGCTGAGGTGGAAGGATCGCCGGAGCCCAGCAGGTCAAGGCTGCAATGGCCGGGAGCGGCCACTGCACTCCAGTCTGGGTGACAGAGTGAGACTCCAACTCAAAAAAAAATAAAAAAGAAAAAGAAAAAATTAGCCAGGCATGGTAGTGTGCACCTGTAGTTCCCGCTACTTGAAGGCTGAGGTGGAAGGATTGCCGGAGCCCAGCAGGTCGATGCTGGGGGTGGCTGTGAGTGTGCCACTGCACTCCAGCCTGGGTGACAGAGTGAGACTCCAGCTCAAAAAAAAAAAATAAAACCTGCTCCTGAATTCACAGAAACTATATGAGATATTATTTATGTTACTATAAACCCCTAAGTTTGGGCATTTTACAAAACGCTAGATAACAAATTAGGGGCTTTCTAGAGTCAATACCTTACCTAAAAAGAAGGCACTAATGATGAGAATACCATTTATTTAGTACTTAACTGTGTGCCAAGCTGTAACTTACCTCCCTGTAAGCTATTGGAGCCACAAGGTAACACCTGGTGAAAGCTCTCTGAACCCAGAGGTCCTGACTCAGTCTTACACCATCCGACACAGCCCTAACAGAAATCCCTGCAACAATGGTATTGTTCTAAGTCAACAACATCCAATATAGTAGCCACTAGTCACTTGTAGCTGTTAAGTACTTGAAATATGGCTAGTGCAACTAAGGAACTATATATATATATATATATATATATATATTTTTT